AAACCTGGGGGTGCTGCAGCACCCATCTCCCCACACTGCTAGTTCCCAGGACTATACTGCCCAGCACCCTCCAACCCCATCACTGCCCAGAGTCCCCCCCAAAAAACCTCCCCAGAGACCCACTCTCCCGCACCAGCTCAGCTGCTGGCAGGAGCTCCCCAGCAGGATTGCCTGATGCCATCTCCCCGCTCAGGTGGCCCTGGCCCCTGCTGGACTGGAGCATCAAATTTTGAATTTTTTTTAGCACATAGCTGAGTCGCAGCTGTGTGCTAACTGGGCAGCATGTGGCCCACAGGCCGTGGGTTGAGAACCACTGCAATACAGGCTTAGCAGGTGGTTGGTTTGCAGTCAGTTGCAAACTGCATCAAATTAGAGACTGATCTATGAAACAGACTGGGTGATAGAACAGACGATTAAGAGAGAATACTTCTATTATTGAGGCAAATCACCAATGCAAAAGCCCTATCTCCAAACACCATCAGTAGGATACGTCCTTAGCCTCTACATATATACAAAGGCAGAGTGAGTGAAACCGGAAACTATGTTGCCCAAGGCATAGGCGCCAACTTTTCCTGGTGCCGATGGGTGCTCGCGCCCCCTTCCCCAAAGTCTCTGCCCCCTCCCTGCTCCACTGGACTCCTTCCGCAAATCCCCGCCCTGGCCCCGCCTCTTCCCCAAGCGTGCCGCGTTCCCCCTCCTCCCCCTTCCCTCCCAGCGCTTGCCACTGCGAAACAGATGTTTCACGGTGGGAAGCGCCTGGAGCTAGGGCAAGAAGCGGTGCAGAGCACCCACCGATTTTTTTCCCCATGAGTGCTCCAGCCCCAGAGCGCCATGGAGTCGGTGCCTATGGCCCAAGTGGCTTATAGTTCTGTAATTTGCAGATTCTGGTCCTCCCTGGACCACTACTTGCATATACACAGCACTGGCCATGCCACACTATCTCTGTGCTTCTACAGAGTATGCATTGGCAAGAGCGTACAGTACACAGTGCTTTTTTCCTCTGGCCATACTTGCTTTGCTATTGACCTCACCAACTTCTTCAGTGAACTGCTTGTGAGGTGCATTGTCCTTGTTTAACTGCACATTGGGACAGCATAACGGTGCTATTATCCTGGAGTAATTCCACCCTCTTTAAGTGGTATAGCACAAACCTTTTTTATTTGCTTGTGCAACATAGACAGGTGGGATCACTAGGCTCTAAAGTTACAAGAAAGAACTGAAATTTAGAAATAAGCAAATATGGGTTTTATTCCTCACTTAAATGTGACATCGGGCTTGTCTACACTGGCACTTTACAGCGCTGCAACTTTCTTACTCAGGGGTGTGAAAAAACTACATGGTTAAAAGTAAAACAGCCAAACACCACTACCACCATTTCACTAGTTAGTCTTAAAATTAACATTGCCCCCTTTTGACCCAAGCAGCTAGGCAAAGTTTGGGGCCATGGGAGATGTTCTAGTTCAAAGTAGAATTGATGTAGCTTGGTACCTTTTTGATGCAATCTTGTTGATTTACAAGGCATGTACAAAGTCATGTGTTTCTGAGGCAAGAGGAACCAAGAATAAAAGGAGCAATTTCTTAGCTTACAGTTCCAAGCCTCTTTAATCAACAGACCCAAAAGCTGTCTCCCTAACTTTTTTTTCCAGGTCACACTGTTTTAACAGACTACTTCTTGGCTTTCTTGCTTTTTTCCATCTGTTTCTCTCTCTGTTCTTGTCTTTTTTTTCAGTCTTTTGACTCTTCTTCTTTCCCTCCCCCACATCCCTTCCTCACACCTATGCAATACTCAGCCTAAAGCTCCTGGGTGCGTTCACACACTCCTTTTTTTTTTCCCCCTTAGGCTTACATTTATGTTAATTGAAGAGTGTATTCAGACCTATCAATCTCAATGGGGTTTTAACTCTATCAATGACAAGGTTTCATCCAGTTCATAACAATATACTACCTTCTCAGTTTGAAAAGAAAGCAATTTATCATACAAGAACAGTAGAAAACATTACAAATTCAATATCTCCCAACCATAAACACATAATTACCACAGCTATCTCCAATTCTAAGAAGAGAGAAAATCTGTGGTATTTCCAATACCTCTGGGTGGTAACTGTTGGCAAATACTGACATTTTAGAGGTGTCCACTACAGGCAGAATGTAATAACCCAGCTTGTAGTTTGTCAAAAAGATCAAGGGTTAAATTCTGAGGTCTGGTAAATGGTGGCACAAGCTAGACTTATATCTTAATCTCTTAACCTCTCTGCTGTGAGGGACGCTGCTGCTCCTCACCCTGATCCTGACTCACTGCTGTTCGCTGGGCCGCGCCGCCCCCGCCCAGGAATAAGTCAGTCAGGAGGACTCTGTGCAGCCACGGCATTTAAAGATAGTGGCAAAGCACCTGTGGAACAGGAAGTAGCAATTCACCAAATTAGAATTACCTTGACGAGTCGCAGTGTAAAGTCCCTTGGGAAAGTCTGTGCTGACTTGCTCAGAGGTGCCAAAGAAAAGAATCTAAAAGTGAAGGGACCTGTTTGCAAGCCCACTACAAGACTCTGCAAATCACTACTAGGAAAATACCTTGTGGTGAAGGTTCTAAGACCTGGGATCATTTCCAGATGCGTATCCACAAGCATCTTAATCTCTTGTAGTTACTTTCTAAATTCTTCCTTCTTTGAGAAAATGATACTGACTTACTTCAACAAATATTCACAGTCATGCTAATGTGCAACTGTAACCCTCACATCTTCTGGGTGTGGTGTTCTGTCCCATCTAGTGGCACTGAGATCACTTAGAGAGAGATTGAGTCTGCTCTACAGCCTTAGCTAAGAGGCATATGGCTTTTAGCTCATGCACTAGGCTCCAGAGGCCTCAGGTTTGATCCCACCCGCTGATGACCAGGGTCTGTCAGTGTTACACAACTCACCTCACCATTTCATCCCCTTTGAATTTGGCAAGAGGATTTTAAAATGTTTAATTATGCAAAAAATTCAGTGACCCTGTAATGTGCACAAGTTCAGTTCAAGGGAACAATGAATGATCTGGTACAAGTCCAAATAGGTTTTTAAATGATTGGCCATATGAGTCTACCAAATCATGATACCACATTTTAACTATGCCCTGATATTTATGAACAGCTTTGCTTACTGTAGATTTTTTTTTTAATGGCAATTTTGGGTCGGAGCCTTGTGAAACAACCAGGTTTTCTTCCCCCTGCAGTTTTTCTTTGTGGAACCTGAGGTTATTTTTTTTTTAATGAGCAGAAATTAATTGTGAAACTTCAACACTTGGTAGCAAAACATTTTTTGTGTTTTAAAGAAATTGCTTTCCCGTCCCCCACAAACATATCAGTCATTTTGCATTTTCATGAAAACCTGAAAAAAAAAAAAAAGAAACAAAACTACAAAAATGTTTTGCAAACCATGTTCTGCTGTTCATGCATCTGGCAGCCCCATCCATTCATGAAGTAGATTCCTTTTTTTAAAGTTAGATAATACCGTTAGTGAGATTCTGCCCCCTACTCGCATGGAGTGGTACTCCAAAAGTAGTCCCATTGAAATCAACATGTTAAAGACTTGCAGAAACTGGCCCTATTATTTTAAACAGTCTGTTTGGAAAATGCTGCTCCATTCCAGAGGAACTCCTGAACTATTCAGCAACCCTCTATTTCTCCCTTTACTTACACTGAACACTGCAGTCTCGTAATTTACAGATTTTGGGGTGCGGAGTGTAATGGTTGTTAATTAAGTATGAAGCAAAGTGGATGTATATCTATTACATCCAAAGGTTACAACCTCTATTCTTATCAAGTTCTGGTGCATCTTTATCTGCTAAACTGAATGCATAGAAGCAATAGAAAAAGAACACCTTTAAAGATAACAGGGTGTCATTAGAGTTTAGTGTTTGCCATGAACACCATCTATTATATGAAAGGCTATGGTTGTTAAAATCTTTGGTGCATGGATAATAATCATTTTAGTGTTTTGACTTATCCATTTTATTAGATCCAATGTTATGATGTATCATATTTAGTTTTAGAGACAATTCGCTTGTACTGTATGGTATTATATTGTGTTCTATCTATTGTGTACTGTTAATGTGATTCAGTAATTGAGTCTGAAGAATATGTTTGTGATACGTGATACAGTGCATTCGAAATGTCAAAAAGAAAATATTTGGAATTGTTTCATTAGATAGCATACTGATTAACAGACATGATATGGCTTATGTGTATAGAAATGATCATAATGAAAAGTACTGATTAATTCAATGAACAATCTCACTAGCCTAAAGTACCAGTCCAGACAGTCGAGTAACATGACCTCATACCAGCAGATGGGTACCAAGCACAAAACTTTTATATCAGCTCCCTATAGAGGAAGCTGAAGACTAAGTAGATAAGTCCTCTTCATTTGTACCACCAGAGACTACTGCTTAGCTAAGCTTAAGGGTTTGGGTGGTTGGTTGTTTTGCAATGGCTCTATGATCATTGTCTTTCTTTTCTATTTCTAACACCATTTTATAATGACAGGATTTGTTTTTGAATAAGGCTTCCCTTTAAGACTTTCTTCTTCTTTTCTCATTTTCCTTCCCCTTGTGTTGGTACCAAGCACTCATTAGGGGCAAGAATCAGACATATGTCCTCTGTTTTGTTACCTATTATAATTAAATGGACATATACATATTTTTCTTTTGAGTTTGTTTGTAGATACAGTAAAGGATATTCCTTTTACAGTTAAACATTGAATATGGCCTTTTGATGAGTGAAATGATGTTTGCTTTAAAGCAATTATATACTTTTGCATGATGAATGAGCAGTCCGAAAGTTGCATTCATGATAATGATTATGATTTCATATTTACTTCTACAAGAATGTCTAGATGTCTCAATCCACACTAGGTCCTTGTACAAAACTTGTGTCACGTGCCTGGCGCTTAGAATTGATGCAATAAACAAATTTAAATAAGTAAATAATGAACTCAAGAAGGTTCCACCCTTTCTTTTCTTTCCAGGCTCAGGACTCAACGATGGGCAATGGCATGAAATCCGGTTTCTAGCTAAGGAAAACTTTGCTGTCCTCACTATTGATGGAGATGAAGCCTCAGCAGTTCGAACAAACAGTCCTCTGCAAGTTAAAACTGGGGAGAAATATTTCTTTGGAGGTAAAAACTGCAGTACTAGCATATCTGCTTAGTGCTGTCCTTTTGTTTTCTATACAATAGATAAATGTGGATATTAGGGTGGAACTCAGTCCTCATAGAGTGTTAGTATTTTGGATCTTATACAAGTGGCTTAGGTGATGACTGCCCCCCAAAAAATCTACTCTTTGTTTTATTAGCCTTTCTTTCCCCCATCCATGGCAGTTCCCGAAACTACATGAGATGCTTTATCCTACTTTCTGAGGAGCGCATTCCCAAATCCACTTTTTTGCAACTTAAAATCTGTTGGTGAAAGTTTGGCACAGAGGCAGAACCCTGTAGTAAGGGTGGCACAGAGCTGGTTGCCTCTTACTGGGAGCTCCCTGATGCCGCTTTCTGAAAAGGTACATCATACTGTCTCCACGATGTGGAGCTGGTTACACTAGCTAGTATGGAGTTGGAGTATGGACCTGCCTCTTCCTCTTTTGAGCCGTGATTTGGGAACACATTTCTATTTAGGACAGGACTTAACCATGTGTTTAACTTTAAGCATGTGCTTAATACTGTTGGAGTCGATGGAATGTAAGTGCATGCTTAGAGTGGAGACTGTGTTGAGTATGGATGGACTTAAGCACATATTTGACTGTTTTTTAAAATTGGGGCTTTAGGTTGGCTAACACTATGAGGCAGGAGTAGTCCATGTACTCCAGTAAGGTTAAGACTACAACTGTTAAAAGCCCTGAGCGAAGGCAACTTCTTTTGCTCTCCCACACCATCTTGTGTTAGCTACAAGGGTATCGAATTTTGTTTTCAATTTCAAAAAGCCTATTTCATTGCAGATACATGATTATAATATACTGTTTTAGATAAATTGTGCGTACGTCAGCTATCTTATTTTATCACATTCAGTAATGGCCTGCCCACGCAGTCTTTACTCAGGCAAATCTCCCATTTGGGATCGAACACTGAGATCAATGGAATTTTTGCACTGATTGATCCAAAGATAATGTGAGTTTGTACATCAGGACGCTGGGCATAAAATAACTTTGTAGGGGTTTTTAAATAGAAATGTGCCATGTTTTTAAACTAGCTATTTTAATCTTGCAAGCTGAACAGCTAATGGGGAAATAATACAGTACTATATATGCTCCTGTTACTCCAGGGATAGAAAAGCTACTGAGATTATGATTTTTAGTGCCCAAAGCAGAAAGAACAAAAAATCCTTTCAAGATTATTCTCATTTCATTATCTCTCTTCTGTGAAATCATTAAAAATATATATGGAAATTAGTGTTTAAATAGTCTTACAAAAATGTATATACACTTTATTAAGAATAGCTCTAATCCTTTTGATAATCTATGCCACAGATTTCTGGGAAACCTCATGGTAGTGATGATAATGAAAAGCACTTCTTGACAGCTAACGCCTGTTGTAGTTTAATCTGGCAATATTTATAATAAAAGTTCACCTGTCACAAAAGTTAACCAGTGTTCATTCACCCTGTCTCTGCAACTCCTTGTGGTCATCCATCTTTCCCTGTGTCCCTACTACTTCAGTCAATGTCTAGGTCATGCATCTTACAGTGTTGTCTCAACCAAGGGCCCCAACATAGCCAACTGCCTCACACAATATTTTGAAAGGTTGTTTTCCATTCAAGAACGTACTGCTCTGACTTTACCTCAAAATAATTAGGGACTTAGATGGTCTCACTAAAACAAGTTATGAAGGAAGAGAAAAATGAGATGAAATAAAAAACTAATATGCCTAACACATTTTGTGTTAAACCCTGAAAAAGCTAATCTAGAAGGTACAAACCATGCCATTATAAAGAATAAGCAATATTTTATATTTCTGGAGACTGCATCCTTTCTCCCTAGCATGTCTTTTATCCTTTGACCCTTTGACTTTGATCTTCTGATAGACAGACAGCATGTAGTCTCACGGTAGATATCATTTCCCTTTCCACTCACTGTCACGTATCTGATGTCATCCCATTTCTTCTGTGATCATTTTGATATTAAAGGTTAATTTATAATTCCAGAACCCCTCTCCCCATGCAAGTATTTACACAGATGCGGTCCTCCGTAGGATAAGGGAGTCTCACATCAACTGTCTTTTGTATTTTTCCCAGATCTGTTCAGCATTGTACTTGTTGCTTTGGATCAACAGTATGTGTCCTCTTTTACAACTTGAAGTTATTTTGAAGATGTATCCAAAGAACAGATATTTTGCATACCTTGTGTCCAAACTGGTTTCCAAATAAGTACCCTTCACTCAATACCACACTTTTGCATTTTAATTGTCCTGGAAGGTGTCTTGAACACAAAGCAAGCTTGCTTTCTGAGGGACATGTCTGTTTAAACTTCTCTCAACACTAATTCTGCATTATATCAACTATAAATTACTGACAGTTTAAAGTCAATCTCTTGCATAAATATGTTAAAAAATCTAGACAATATGTTCACAAACTGCTGCAAACAGAAAGGGGTATTATTCCCTTTCCATGGAGGTATTCCCCTCTACTTTTTTTCTCCATTAGTTTTCTGATCTTTTGCTGTGTGTGTTTTGTGGGCAGTAAGACTGAGAAGAGTTGGGGACAGTGAAGCTTGTATTGTCTTTTTGTACTGTTCAATAATTGTTCCATTTCCACTGAAATCAGGAGAAGTTTTGCCATTCACTTTAGCAGGGGCAAGATCTGACCACACTGTGTGAATTATGTATCTCTTTTTTTTCCTCTGCAGAATATTCATGGCCAGTCAGTCAGCAAAGGGATCATTTGATTCTCCCCCAAATTCAAGGGCATAGAAAATGTTTTTTGTTCACTAATGGATGACTAGTCAAAATCATTATCTGGGTGATAGCTAAAGATGTTTCAGGTGTTTAAAGGAAGGCTAGATAGATATGTGCCTGGCTGGAGAACTGAGTACAATCGGTATAGGTATTCTACTGAGACTTTGGAAATGATTTTCCAGGGGGGACTATCACAAAGCTGAAAATCAGATGGCCAGCTCTGGTTATATTAATACCAACACCACCTCTCCCCACCTGGGTTAAAATGAGTCTGGGAGGTGTAGCGAGCCCCCTTGGCAACTTTTCACCTCCAAATGAGCTTCCTTTCTGGACACTTTGACTTCGACAGCATCAGTTCTCCAACAGCTTTATCTCCCTAAGGCGAGTTAATATTTACTCATTTCTTTTTGTCATTGACAACACTGTTTTGTCAGGTTGATCCTGCTCCCAGAATTGCCAGTTGGCCAGATGCTATGTGACATGCATATCATATTCATGTGCTATTGTCATTTGAACTGGTATGTCCTTTATGATCTCAGGGGGAAGAAAAAAGGGAAGGAGGAGGAAAGATGTATGGAGTTAATAGACGGATATTTAAACATCCCAAAGATAGTTTGGCACATTGAGACTGTTCTTACAAGGACTGTAAAACTTTTCTAGGCGTCCCTGATAACAAATGCTGTCCTAATTATATTTTTCCTATGTTATCCTTGAAACCTCTACATAAATGTCACATCTCATATATTCAAACTTTCCCCAGTGGGATTTCAAAACAAGTCTTTGTTATACTAATGCCTTAAAAAAAAAAAAAAAACACCACGTACGTTGGGATGGTTGTTCTTTGTTTACCAAGATTTTAAAGATCGCTTTTTTCAGCACAGCAATGAAGCATTTTTGAAAATAGAAATTGTAGAATGAATAGCAAAGTAATTAAATACAGTAATTTACCCACCAGATTGACTCTATTTTTGTGAGTATTACTATCGAGTTATACTGTCATCAGCACTATTGCACTATATTTTCCCATGGAAATTTTTCCTTGAAAATGCACGTTCATATTTAGTGAAAATAGCTTTTGCATTGAAAACATGCCAAGGGTGCATTGTTGATAGGAAAATAGATACCTGAGTTTATATTGGTAATTAATTAAAATTCAGGTGAGAGGAAGGAAACAATCATATGAAATGGCAACAGTTTTCAGGCAAAATAAAATAAAACTGAATTTCACAAGGTTCTCATTCTCAGTAGTATCTATGAAAATCTACAGTTTTACTTCTTTAAATTCTTATTTCAGGCTTCTTGATGATTCACTCTGAGACAATGGAGGAGGGTAAGGGTCCCAGCATGGCTGTGCAGGACTTAGCTGAGTCACAAGTCAGGTGCCAAAGATGGGGGGAGAGCAGGCTCTGTGAGGATGCTACTTACTTGTGTTCTCCAGGCAAAGAGCTATAATGAGGGCAAGAAGAAGCAAGGTATAGGCAATGCTGCGATAGGTTGGTCTCTTGGCTGGACATGAAAAGAGTAGCATGCTGCCCCTGATAATGGCCTGCCCCACCTGGTAGTGGTTCCTCACTAGACTCTTGAGTGAAATAGCAATTCTGAAAAAATCATGACTTGGGCACTCCTTTGAATCAAAATTCCTTTTGGAGCTAGTCCTTCCATAAAGCTGAGAATAAATTTGCAATCTAGCCCTTCATTTGGATGGAATTGTTTGTCCTTGGTAGACTACACAGCCACCAAAATGTTTTACACAATATATCATGATTAGTATTTAGGCAAAGCTCTGAATATAGGCAGCTAACAGGAGAGTTTCAGAAGGCGTAGCTGTGGACTCTGTGTTTGGAGGTAGCAGGACTTAGTGAATGTTGTGTTTGCTTGTTTTCTCTCTCCCTCTGTACAGGCTCCATAGCCATGCTTTGGCTTCCTGAGTAAGCAGCTGAGATAGGTTTGTTTGTTGGTGCATTGGCAGAGGTGAAAGTAAGCCAGTACGCCCCGGTACAGCGTACTGGTAAGAGCTGATGTGCCATACCAGGACCAGCTTTCCGAGAGGGCAATTTAAAGCCCTGGGGTAGCTGTGGTGGGGATTTAAAGGGCCCCGGAGCTCCAGCCGCTGCTACGCCCCCCTACCCCCGGGGCCCTTTAAATCCCCGCCAGAGCCCTGCCGCCGCTACCCCAGGGTTCGGACAGCAGGGCTCAGGCGGGGATTTAAAGGGCCCCAGGTGGAGGTAGCAGCA